AATAAGGATAAATATTTCATCTTTGGTCTGTGGACATATTGGACGCAACTCTTAAGTCAATCTAGGGGGTAAAAGGGACATTCTGACGATAAAAATTAAGAAAAAATGGATGAGAAATAATGCTCTGACCGATGTTTTGAATGCAACAGTGAAAGAAATGAGAACCGCCTTGATGAAAAGGCCAACTCTATAGCATCTATCATGAGGTTATCTTGAGATGGTTTCGGGGGCTTAGCTTTCCCCGCGGCCCGGTCCTCGACCAGGCCTCCTTCTTGTTCCACCCCCCCCCCTCCCCCTAAGAAGCAGCCCTTAGCAACTGTCTAACTCCCCAGGTACCTATTTACAGCTAGGTAGCAGGAGCATCAGGGTGAAAGAAACATTTTGTCCATTTGTCACTGCCTCCACCGGGATCGAACCCGGAACTTCAGGACTACGAATCCGAAGCGCTGTCCACTCAGCTGTCAGCTGTATTTAGCATCTGTTGTGTCTATTAAAATATTCTAGACGATCTTTTACACGGCTCACAAAAGGGAGGAAAGAGCCCTGAAAGACGATACCAACCAGAAGATAGAGTTGTCAGTCTACCACAAGAGGAAGAGAACCGCCAAAATGCTTCAGAAGAACACTTCCAACACCAAACGAAACGCCTTGAGAGAGAGAGACGAATGTTGTCTCTATCTTCACGTGTCTACTTGTCTATTGTCAGCCCCAACGATCTCAGTATATAGGTAAGACAACAACGACTCTTTCCAGGCACCTGACAGTACGAAAACTCAGAACTCCATCAAAGAACCTAACTACTACACACACCTAGGTGATCTCCAGGGAGCATTCTGGCCAAGGTAAGGTAATTATCAGGGGAAAGCACCAAGCCATTACGAGTATATAGCACTGGGAAGGGGGTCAGGATAAGGAATTGGGATGGGACGGGAGGAAAGGAATGGTGCCCAACCCCTTGGACGGTCGGGGATTGAATGCCGACCTGCATGAAGCGAGACCCGTCGCTCTATCGTCCAGGCATTCTGGCCAAACAACACCGAAATAATCGAATGATACAACGACGACACAAAATTAGAGATCGGCAAAGCACTACATGCTAAACAACGTCACCCAACCAATAGCAGTCATCTCACTCTTATCATCAAGACTAAGGCAGAGTATCCAACATTGGTTCAGGCATCACTTTACTTAACTTGCTTTATCATGGTTATATATTGGGTATATATATATTGGTTATATATAAAAGTAATCTGAAGCTTATTTTTTTTTACCTCTGCCTTTGAAAATGTTGACATGTTCAACGAAACACACCTCTTAGCGTCAGATCATAATAAAACTGTACAATGAACTTTGGATAATTAATTTTTCAACTTCCTTCTGAAGTGAAGAACATAAGAAATATAAAGAAGATTCTTGCTATCACCCTTTCTATGATATTCATGAATAGATATCTACAAGATATTTTGTATACACTAAACATTTATATAGTTAGTATAATCTTATTTATATATAGAGTGTTTGGTGTCAATAATAATTTGATCGCCTAATTCACTCATAAATCTGATTGAACATTTCGGAATAGACCTGAAGCTGCAACAGTGTGCACAATTACAGGATAATACTTTGCATTTTGTACTATTTGAACCTATTATTACTTTCATACACGGTTCTGTTGTATTAGTGTTGGATGCTGGCCTAAGTGGAGACTGTTTTCTCCTCAAATGTGTATTTTGTATAATGTAAACATGGGTGTTTGTGTATTGTCTGAAAAGATTGTATAAAATGACCGAAATCGAGCCAATGTGGTTACTGATTTGTTACCAAGAGGAGTAAATGTCAATGTTAGCATGAACATCATTGTTACCCCATTAAGGAGCATCAACATCAATGTTACCCCATTAAGGAGCATCAACATCAATGTTATCCCATTAAGGAACATCAACATCAATGTTATCTTGTTAAGAAAACCTGACATCAAAGTTATCTCTATGCTTACCTTGCAGAAATTAAACCTCAGTCCCATTATTTTCTCTGGGAGTTCAGTAAACGTTTAGACGACAATATAAGTGAATGTTCACGTATATATAGAGGAGAAGCTTTACTTATACAGCTAAAGAACGCTACGCACCGATAGTGAACACTAAAGAACTAACGAGTATTTCAACGATATTAAACACCACGACACAGAACACTACAAGCTTACAGAACACTAAAAGATACAGAAAACTACAGTGATGTAGAAAAATAAATAGAGAACATTACAGCAATAGAGATAACACTATCAAGCTAGAGAACACTACCAAAATTAGACACTACAAAGATAGAGAGCAATTCCAATAGAGAACACTATAAAGAACATAGAACACTGCCTGTTCAGTTCGAGGCTTGTTACCGAGCGAAGTGCTCCTCTCTCACAACGAAAGACTCAAGCGAGTTACCTCGTAAACTGTGCGTTTGAAAACCTGTGGAGCAGGACTGTGGGATCGAACGGTCGTGCTGTATCAAGAATTTTCCGTTTGCAAGTTCATGTGATTGTGGATTCATTGTGTGTGTGTGTTTAATCAAGCTGTTGTGACTAGCTCACCAAGATAAGGTCTGCATCTTGTGCACTAGTTTTCGGCTATCAGGTGAGCTGTGTGTTAACTCTGTGTTATCTTCAAGGTGTAGTGAGGTATCTTCAAGGGTGTGGTGAGATATCTTCAGGGTGTGGTGAGATATCTTCAAGGTGTAGTGAGATATCTTCAAGGTGTAGTGAGATATCTTCAGGGTGTAGTGAGATATCTTCAAGGTGTTGTGAGATATCTTCAGGGGTGGAGTGAGATATCTTCAAGGTGTAGTGAGATATCTTCAGGGTGTAGTGAGATATCTTCAGGGCTTAGTGAGATATCTTCAAGGTGTGGTGAGATATCTTCAGGGTGTAGTGAGATATCTTCAAGGTGTAGTGAGATATCTTCAAGGTGTAGTGAGATATCTTCAAGGTGTAGTGAGATATTTTCAGGGTGTAGTGAGATATCGTCAGGGTGTAGTGAGATATCTTCAGGGTGTAGTGAGATATCGTCAGGGTGTAGTGAGATATCTTCAGGGTGTAGTGAGATATCTTCAAGGTGTGGTGAGATATCTTCAGGGGTGGAGTGAGATATCTTCAGGGTGTAGTGAGATATCATCAGGGTGTAGTGAGATATCTTCAAGGTGTAGTGAGATATCTTCAGGGTGTAGTGAGATATCTTCAGGGTGTAGTGAGATATCTTCAGGGTGTAGTGAGATATCTTCAGGGTGTAGTGAGATATCTTCAGGGTGTAGTGAGATATCTTCAAGGTGTAGTGAGATATCTTCAGGGTGTAGTGAGATATCTTCAGGGGTGTAGTGAGATATCTTTCAGGGTGTAGTGAGATATCTTCAAGGTGTGGTGAGATATCTTCAGGGGTGGAGTGAGATATCTTCAGGGTGTAGAGAGATATCTTCAGGGTGTAGTGAGATATCTTCAGGGTGTAGTGAGATATCTTCAGGGTGTAGTGAGATATCTTCAGGGTGTAGTGAGATATCTTCAGGGTGTAGTGAGATATCTTCAGGGTGTAGTGAGATATCTTCAGGGTGTAGTGAGATATCTTCAGGGTGTAGTGAGATATCTTCAGAGTGTAGTGAGATATCTTCAAGGTGAAGTGAGATATCTTTCAGGGTGTGGTGAGATATCTTCAGAGTGTAGTGAGATATCTTCAGGGTGTGGTGAGATATCTTCAGAGGTGGAGTGAGATATCTTCAGGGTGTAGTGAGATATCTTCAGGGTGTAGTGAGATATCTTCAAGGTGTAGTGAGATATCTTCAAGGTGTGGTGAGATATCTTCAGGGTGTAATGAGATATCTTCAGGGTGTAGTGAGATATCTTCAGGGTGTGGTGAGATATCTTCAAGGGTGTAGTGAGATATCTTCAAGGTGTGGTGAGATATCTTCAGGGGTGTAGTGAATATCTTTCAAGGTGAAGTGAGATATCTTCAGGGTGTAGTGAGAAATCTTCAGGGTGTAGTGAGATATCTTCAGGGTGTAGTGAGATATCTTCAGGGTGTAGTGAGATATCTTCAGGGTGTAGTGAGATATCTTTAAGGTGTAGTGAGATATCTTCAAGGTGTAGTGAGATATCTTCAGGGTGTAGTGAGATATCTTCAGGGTGTAGTGAGATATCTTCAGGGTGTAGTGAGATATCTTCAGGATGTAGTGAGATATCTTCAGGTGTAGTGAGATATCTTCAGGGTGTAGTGAGATATCTTCAGGGTGTAGTGAGATATCTTCAGGGTGTAGTGAGATATCTTCAGGGTGTAGTGAGATATCTTCAGGGTGTAGTGAGATATCTTTAAGGTGTAGTGAGATATCTTCAAGGTGTAGTGAGATATCTTCAAGGTGTAGTGAGATATCTTCAGGATGTAGTGAGATATCTTCAGGGTGTAGTGAGATATCTTCAGGGTGTAATGAGATATCTTCAGGGTGTAGTGAGATATCTTCAGGATGTAGTGAGATATCTTCAGGGTGTAGTGAGATATCTTCAGGGTGTAGTGAGATATCTTCAGGGTGTAGTGAGATATCTTCAGGGTGTAGTGAGACATCTTCAGGGTGTAGTGAGATATCTTCAGGATGTAGTGAGATATCTTCAGGATGTAGTGAGACATCTTCAGGGTGTAGTGAGACATCTTCAGGGTGAAGGGCCATATTCGTCATAAACTTCATGTTAGACTAATGACTTATCAACATCGGAGGTTGCAAAGTCCGCCACTATCTTACTAACCAACCACCAAGTATACTTTAATCCAGAACATACCTCAGAACAAAGTATACTCACAGTATATATATATACATGTGTGTGTGTGTGTGTAACTTGAAAAAACACACAATTTCTTACCTGAAGGCGCCTGGTGATGTCTCTGGCTGGAGTACTCTGTAGGGTTCAGGTCACCTGTCCAATATTCACAGATGGTGTCACCTGTCTCGTGACAGTCATACAGTCACCTCACTCGTGACAGTCGCAGTCACCCTTCCTTCTCTGTCACAACATCATCTTTGTCTCAGGTTCACACCTCCTAAGCTCTCGACGTCACCAAAGGGGTTTTCTTGAGTCATTCCACGATTCAAAGTACTGCATGGAATGCAGTTTGAATGGTGGTAAATGTTATTCTCTGGCTGTATGTAGGCAAATATATATATATATATATATATATATATATATATATATATATATATATATATATATATATATATATATATATATATATATATATATATATATATATATATATATATATATATATATATATATATATATATATATATATACTCAAAGAGTTTGCATCAAATGTGCAACATACGTGTTAGCAATAGTCTATGTAGATGAGAATTAGTTACGTAGTATTGAAGGAATAATTTGTGTCTCACCGCTTGGGGAACTCTCATCTCTCATCTAAGATCGAGGGAAGAATCAAGGAGCGCTAAGTGGGAGATGAGAAATGATGTTCGGATTAGGAGAATTATGCAAATTAATATTCGGATTAAGGCTTATTTAATGTTCGTTTGACTTATAGGATTTTTTTTTGTAGTAAAAATCAAGCGATGAATACCATAATTTTGTGTACAATTTTCGTTCAGAATCGCACAGCTATTGCAGAATCGGTGAAGATTTTTGTTTATTTCTGATTGAAATCACAGTTGCAAAATTTGGTAGTTGGAATTACCCGGTTATTGCAAGTTCCGGCGTGGCAGTTGAACACCTGGGAAAGTCATTATAAGTATTGCACAGGTATCGCAACAATCCGCGGGGGGCCGAGGGGGGGGGGAGAGGGGGCACGTCAGTGGGAAATTTCGGTGAGGGGGGGCCGGCGGGCCTGGTGTCGGATGGGTGACCGGAGCGAGGCGCGCGGCGGCTGTGGGCCAGCGGGAGAGACACTCACGTCTGTGTCTGTGTAGCGACGGTCGTGGACTGGGGGCTGCACCTCTGCTCTACCGCCTCTGACGCCCACCACCACCGCCCGCCGCCACCACCACCACCACCACCACCACCACCAGTGCCACCACCACCACCACCACCACTACTACCACTACCACAAGAGCAGCCAGCATCACCACCACCACCACCACCACCACTACCACCACCACCACCACCATCACCACCACCACCACCACCACCATCACCACCACCACCACCACCAGCGTGAAGTCGTTGTCATCGCGGTCATCATGTCGGGCAAGCTTAGCTGGGCTACCACACGAACGCTCACCCACGCACGCATGCACGGATACACACACACACACACAGGAACCTGTACACCTGTTGATTGACGGTTGAGAGGCGGGACCAAAGAGCCAGAGCTCAACCCCCGCAAGCAAAACTAGGTGAGTACACACAAACACACACTCTCACACACACACAAACACACACACACACAGTGTGTGTATATACATACATGTGTGTGTCCGAAGGCGTCGTGAGAGAGACACGTGTGTCCCTAAGGTCCGCGAATAACATCAATTATCTCCAGACACTGAAGTGTTACGGGAGACAAGAAACATAGTTTTTTGTCACAGGAGTGTATACAAACGCAGTGATCAAGTGTATAGCGAGCTCCTACAGCGGTAGAGCAATTAAGAAAGCAAAAAAAAGTGGCAGTGTGAAGAGTGGAGCAGACCTCACGGTGACTGTGACCTCACAGCCTCAGTCAGTGACCGACCGTGACCTCACCCCCGGCAGCAACCATTCCACACGTGGGGAGAATATTGGAGGCTAACTCGACCCTTTTGCGGTCCGTCTAATTACCACAAGCTTCAGAAAGCTTCCTGGCAATACGTTAGTAATGAATAAATGTGATATATTTACTCATTATAATGTTGATGCTGAATGTACAACACGAAAAAACTTAATTTTAATCTGAAAAAGTGTCTTTTTATAAAGAAATTAGACGAAAATAAAGAGCTGGTGACGCCAAATCAAGTCGACGATCCTAGCGTCGGTTAGGTTAGGCTAGGTTAGGTTTGGTTAGGTTAGGCTAGGTTAGGTTAGGTTAGGTTAGGTTAACCCATGACGCTATGTCATGGGTTCGTATCCTGGCCGGGGAGGATTTACTGGGCGCAATTCCTTAACTGTAGCCTCTGTTTAACGCAACAGTAAAATATGTACTTGGATGAAAAAACGATTCTTCGCGGCAGGGGATCGTATTCCAGGGACCTGCCCGAAACGCTACGCGTACTAGTGGCTGTACAAGAATGTAACAACTCTTGTATATATCTCAAAAAAAAAAAAAAAAAAAAAAAAAAAAAAAAAAAAAAGGTTAGGCTAGGTTAGGTTTGGTTAGGTTAGGTTAGGTTTGGTTAGGTTAGGTTGGGTTAGGTCAGCCTAACCTAACATATCATATTTATTCATTACTAACGTATTGCCAGGAAGCTTTCTGAAGCTTGTGTAGCTTGTGGTAATTAGACGGACCCCTATTTTGTGTTTAGGAGGTTGGTAAGATACTTGGAACCCCTTGTGGGTTAATGTTGGGTTATAGCAATGACTTGGTCAGGAAGGGCGTCTAGGTCCAGCAGTATTATGATTAAAGAAGAGGATAGATTTGTGGAGAAGATGTTTGGGAAATTTGTAAAGAAGAGGGATGTTTGGATAGATGATCTAATCCAGGGGATTAAAAGTGAAATCTTTAATAAGATACAGGACGAGGTTCAGAAACAAAAACGAGAGTTTATGGACTATATTCAACAAGATATCAAGAAGAGCAGAGTGGCATGGGAAAGTGAGATAACTAGGCTTACAACTGTATTTGGCAGGAATAAGGGAAGCATGGCAAGGGAAGGGGGGAGTGGTGGGGAATGGAGTAGTGACTGTGGGAGAGGTAGGGGGTCAGCCAGAGTGGGGGGGGGGGGGCGACCATCATGACCCTTCACTGAGGAGGAGGTCAATCGTAATCCATGGATTACTTGAAGCCAAGGCATCATCGAGACAGGAAAGGATGGAGATTGAAGATTTTGAGTTACAGGGGATCTTAAGAGATATCAGAGCCGACATGGCAGGGAATGAGGTGGGAATCCACCGTCGCATTGGGGCGTATAACTGTAACAAGAAACGACCTGTCTTGGTACAGTTCACTAACGAGGAGGCTGTGGATTACATACTACAACACAAGCACTTACTCAGAGGTAGCAAAAACTATTACAACGTGTATATTGACAGATACATGACCAAAGATGAGCAGGTAGCCGACAGGGCGAGCCGTCCTCGACGCACCTCGTCATATTTGAGCGTAGTTACCCACCCTAGTGCTAACCCACCCCGTGCCCCACCCCGTGCTAACGAGCCCACGCCTGCTTCCTAGGTCACTCCCTCCCCAAATCAGCCCTCCCTGCCTCTGCTTATCTCCTTAACACCTCCCTTGTCCCCTCTGACCCCATTGCATTCGAATCCATCTGCTTCATCTCACATTCCAAGGACCACCTCATCCCCTCAACCCCCAAAACTCGACCAGCCCTCATCCCCTCAACCCCTAAAACCCGCCCAGCCCTCATCCCCTCCTCATCCCTCTCCTTCCATGTGACCCCCTACCCTTGCGAGGGGGGCATATGGCCTCCCTGTGGGTGATGGGGGGGACCCACTACCTCTTCCTCCATTTCTCTTTTCCCCCTTCTACCCCAGTGCCCACACCTACCCCTGAGTTCCCCCCCCCTGACTAATACAACCTCCCTCCCACTATCACTATCCATGTTCCATCTGCCTCTCTATCCTTTCCCACCCCCTCCATCCTTTTCTCCCCCAGCCTCTCAACCTCTATCTGGCTCAACCTTACGCTACCTCTCGACCCCTCTATGCCTCTCAGACCCTCCCTAATCTTCAAACCCAGTATGCCCTTACTACTCCAGACCTACCTACTCAGACCCTACTCCAGACCTTCCTACCTACCTTCCTAGATGCCCAGCCCCCATTCGCTCCCCAAGCACCCCTCCAGACCCCATCCACCCCCCGGATCCCCCCCAGCCACCATTCACCCCCCCAGACCCCCAGAAAAAGGGAGAACTCTGGTACCAGAGTTTCCATGAAGAACCTCAAGGTTTGGTACACCAATGCTGAAGGATTATCTAATAAAGCAGAAGAGATAAAAGAAAGAGTGAGTGAGGCAGATCCTGACATAGTTGCAATTGTGGAAACTAAAATAAATGACATGATCTCGGATGCAATCTTTCCAGAGGGCTACCAGGTGACAAGAAAAGAAAGGACAAAGAAACAGGGAGGGGAAGTGGCACTCCTAATAAATCGGAAATGGAAGTTTGAAGACCTGGGAAATCGCGTTACTAATGAGAGCACAAACTTCATACATGGAACTCTGACAGCAGATGGGAGGAAGATTGTGATCTTCATAATCTACACTCCCCCACCAAACAGTAGAAGACCCAGGCAGGAGTATGATGACAACAACAAGGCATGCATAGATGAACTGCAGAAGGCAGCAACATTTGCTCACAGAATGAGAGCGAAGCTACTGGTCATGGGGGACCTAAATCATGGAGAGATAAATTGGGAATCAAGGAATCCCCATGGAGGGGACGAAACGTGGGGAGCAAAGTTAGTAGATGTTGTAGACAGAAATTTCCTAACACAACATGTGAAGGAAGACACAAGGGAAAGAGGAGGAGATGCACCGAGCCTATTAGACCTGATTTTCACCCGGAATGTAGAAGACATCGAGAATTTGGAGCATGAAATAACTCTAGGGGCCAGTGACCATTGTGTCCTAGTCTTTAACTACATGATGGAATTCAAACTTGTGACCATGGGACAAGAGGTCTGGGAAAGGGGATTACAAGAGGATATGGAACTATCTGGGAGAAGTGTAGTGGGAGGAAGAAATTAGAGGAAAAACAGTCCAAGATATGATGGACCTGGTCATACGGAAATGCCAGGAGGCCGAAGAGAGATTTATACCAACAGTAAAGGGAAAAAATAAGAGGGAATATAATAACCCATGGTTTAATAGACAGTGTCAGGAAGCAAAAATGGCCACCAGGTGGGAGTGGAAGAAGTACAGAAGACAAAGGGCAAAGGGCAGCAGGATCAGATGCAACAGAGCTAGGAACGATTACATTAAAATAAGACGAACATCGGAAAGGAACTATGAGAACGATATTGCGATCAAAGCAAAAAAGCAATCTAAATTACTACACAGCCATATAAGAAGAAAAATGTCGGTGAACGACCACGTGACAAGACTAAGGAAAACAGAGGGGGCATATACTGAAAATGACAAGGAAATTTGTGAGGCACTGAATGCCAGCTTCCATGGAGTGCTGCATCGAGCCTGACCAGCTCCCATTGTTAGAAGCGATTACCCTAGATGAAAGACTATCAGATATAGAGGTGACAGCAGAGGAGGTAATGAAACAGTTGACAACACTGGATGCAACTAAAGCAGTTGGACCAGAAAAAGTATCACCGTAGATACTAAAAGAAGCAGCGCAGGCCCTAAGCGTGCCTCTGGCAATGATCTTTAATGAGTCACTTCTGTCGGGAGAATTGCCCAGTTGCTGGAAGAAGGCAAATGTCGCACCGATTTTCAAGAAAGGTGATAGGGAGGAGGCACTTAACTATAGACCTGTATCACTGACAAGCATCCCCCTGTAAAGTTCTTGAAAGAATAATTAGGCTACGACTGGTTGCACACCTGGAGAACGTTAGGTTTGTGAACAAACATCAACATGGGTTCTGGAAAGGGAAATCGTGCCTAACAAACCTTTTGGAATTCTATGATAAAATAACGAGGATAAGACAGGACAGAGATGGTTGGGCAGACTGCATATTTCTGGACTGCCAAAAAGCCTTTGATACAGTATCGCACATGAGACTGCTGTTCAAACTTGAGAGGCAGGCGGGGGTGGGAGGAAAGGCCCTAGCATGGATATGGAACTACCTAACAGGAAGGAGCCAAAGAGTTACGGTAAGGGGCGAGAAGTCGGACTGGC